TACCAAAGAAACCCAGGGTGATCTTAAGTGACTAAGTACATCAAGAGCAGTTTCTCAAGGTTGGGGAGGAGAAAAGAAGTGGTAAGGGACGTGGAGGTAACTAACTTCCTGTTACAAAATAAATGAGCCACAGGTATGAAATATATAGTGTGGGGAATATAGTCAATAACTAATGTTTTTGTATGGTGACAGATGACAGCTGGACTTATCATGGTGGTCATTTTGAAGTGTATAGATATATCAAATCACTGCTTTGTGTCCCAGGAACTGATGTAGAATTCTGGGTCAATTATACTTCAGAATAAACGAACGAACAAACTCATAGAAAAAAGACCAGATTTGTGGCTGCAGAGGCAAGCGGGTAGGAGGAAGGGGAATTAGATCTTCATCTAGTCAAAAGGTATAAACTTCTGGTTACAAATAAATAAGTACTGAGGCTGTAATGTACAACGTGACAAAGATAATTAACACTGCTTTACATTATAAATGAACGTTGTTAAGAGAGTTCTCATCAAAAGGAAAAAAATTTCTTCTACTTTAATATTGTATCTATGTGAGATGATAGATGTTCACTAAACCTATTGTAGTCATCATTTCAAAACTGAGTGAAGGGAAAAAAAAAAAACTCCAAAAAAAAACCCAAAAGACTGGGTGGGGAAAAAAGCAGTTTCTCAGCCTCAGCACTCTTGATGCTTTGGACCAGATAATTCTCTGTTGTAAGGGATTATATCCTGTTCATTGTAGGATATTGAACAACATCGTGGCTTCTACCCACTACATGCCAGCAGCACCCATCCTCCCCTCAGTCGCTGACAATTGAAAATGTCTCCAGGCTTTGCCACATGTTCCCTGGTGGGGGAAGGGGACAAAATTTTCCCAAGCAATAAGATTCATATCTCAAGTAGGACCTGATGCTCAGAAGGCACTCAGTTTGTGTTTTGTATTGAACTAGTTGTTTCAGTGCCAAAATTCTTGTACATACGATGTTGGAAAACTATCCATATCCGTTGTCTTTTGAGAATAAAGGTAACATATGATCATTTTAGAAATTTTTAGAATATGCAGAAAAGAATAAAGTCATAAATTTAAATTATCTATAATTCTTACTAAAAAAATCACTAGCATTTTCATATTTATTTCAATTTTTAGTATTTATTATATAAACCTATTTATGTAATTACCATATTTATAGTTGTTCTAATTTTATCATATAACATTGCATCACAAATATTTTCACATGTCCTTGCAATTTCGTAGTACAAGGAAGGATTTTTGTCCCCCCTAGTCTGTTCACTCATCTAGTTTTAAAAAAAAGTTAATGTCAGTTCTACTTAAAACTCAGTGCTGTTTTACCTAGTATTCCTATGATCTGTGAATAAAATCTCAGGTTCCTAGATTTTAAGATACTATGTAAACAATAGTATAAGTAATAAAAGCTCAAACATCATCATCCTAATCTGTCACCTATCCATTTTCTTTTAATCTCTCCATATGCACATGTCATTTGTATATCGTTATAGTGTATGAACAGTTTTCCATTTTGCTTATTTTTACTTAACATTATAAGCATTTCCAGTCCTTCATAATTGTTTCAGTGACTCATAATATCCAGCAATTGACATATCGTGATATCCCTAACCCTCTCCTTTTTGTTAGATACTGGATTGATTCCAGTGTTTTTCTTCTTTGGAAGATATTTTATTGAATTTATGTACCTGTCTCCCTTCCCGCTTTCTGGGTCATTTCCTTAAGATAAATTTCCAGCAGTGGGAATTACTAGACCACAGAGTATAAAAAGATTTCATAGTTCTTGAAATGTATTGCCAGTTTCTTTCCGAAGGAATGGCACCAGTTTTTACTGCTGTCAGCAGTGTGCAATGGTGTACACTTTTACTGTCTCCTTGCCAGCACTGGCTTTTAAAAATTATTCCTCCACAGGAATAAGAATGTGACTTCAGAGGAAGTCAGTCTCATTGAGGGTTTAGTAACAACCTTATAACAATATCGATCCTGATCTGGCAGAACTATGGTAGCAGCCTCCACTCTCTTCCTCGCCGACCCCCACGCCACCCACCTTGTACAGCCTCCCTCCAAAGCTCTTGTTAAAACAGGGATTGGATTGTCATTTGTTCTCCTCCTAATATAATAAGTATTTAGCATCTATTGAACATTTATTATGTAGCCCCAGTTCTAAGTGGTTTGCAGGTATTAGCTAACATAATTCTCACAGCGGCCCTGTGAGACAGGCAGTGATGTTATCCCCATCTTACAACTGAGGGATCCTAGGGAACAAGTGGTAACAGCACCTGCAGAGCTAGTGGGAGTGAGTGAGGGGCCGGGATCTGATCCCAGATGGTGCGTCTCCGCTGCCTTGTGCTTACCCACGAGGTGATCTTGCTTGAACCCTCGTCAGCAGCCCCTCATTTCCGCCGGTGCTGGGGTCTCCACCATTGTGTTCTGGCCACTCCCTTGCGTGTTTCCTCCGCTCTTGCCAAGCTTACGCCTCTGTTCTCCCACCTCCCTGTATGTGCTCAGGCCTCTGTGCTCTTTCTTTTTCTTGCTCCCTGACTCCCCATCTGCCTGGAAAGCTGCTTCTCATCTTGCACTTCCTCCCTTGGTAAAGTCTTTCCTAACGTCTCTCACCACCCCAGCCTCCACCTTGCTCCCAGAGGGTTTTGCACATGCTTGGTTATAGAATCTGCTAAATCACATCATGTGCTTATCTATTCACCTGCAGTCTCAGTTCCATGAGGGTAGGCAGTGTCTTCTTTTTTTAATTAAAAAACTGTTTTAGAATGGTTTTAGATTTATAGAAATAGTGCAGAGATAGTATAGTACAAAGAATTCCCATATACCCAGTTTTTCTTGTTAACGTCTTAAGTTAATGTGGTTCATTTGTCACAACTGATAAACCAATATTGAAAATACTGATACGTGTATTAGTTAAAGCCCATACTTTACATTTCTTTAATTTTTTTACCTAATGCCTTTTTCTTGTTCCAGAATCCCATCCAGGATATCACATTACATTTACTCATCATGTATCCTTAGGTTCCTGTTGGCGCTGACGGTTTCTCACTCTGTTTTGATGACCCTGAGAGGTTTGAGGGTCAGGTGTTGTGTCAAATGTCCCTCAGTTTGAATTTTTCTGATGTTTTTCTCATGATTGGACTGGAGTTGTTTATCTTGGGGAGGAAGACCACAGAGATATGTGCCATTCTTATGTCAGGGCGGGATCCTTGTCAAGATGACTTGTCACTGTGGATTTGACCTTGAGCGGCTGCTCAGGCTGTGCCCATCAGGGTTCTCCACCTTAAAGTTGCTCTTTTCTTCCCCCTTCCCACGCTTTGCACTTCGGAAAGTGGTGACTGTGCGCAGCCCACACTGAAGGAGTGGGGGTGCTGTGCACTCCCTCCATGAGGATGGAGGGGCTGCGTGAGTTGCTGGGAACTCTTCTGCACAGGGTTGCCTCTCCTCCCTCATTTCTTCCTTTATACCAGCATGGACTCAGGGATATTTATTTTGCACTTCAGGTTTAACCCGGTACTACTCTTCTTGCTCAGACTGGTCCAGCTTTGGCCATTGGGAGCTCTTTCATTTGGCTCCTGTGTTCCTTTTACATTCTCCCATCATTGTGGGGTGTTGGGGGGTTTTGTTTTTAACAGCACTTCCTGACTTCCTGGTACCACAAGGTAGTCCATACTTACCTTGAGTATTTCCTGCCCCTCACCTAGAATCAGCCATCTCTCCAAGAGTCCTTTTCTTTTTTATTAGAGACTGAAATAATTTTGTTGTATTACCAAATGATTTGAATGAGCCCCAGATTCCTAGGTTTCTCCTCTTTGAGAGTGATACTTCAAAGCCCCAACAACGTCTCCTACACACAGAATCAACTGTGTTTACTATTAAGGGAGGCACTACATTTTCAGGAGTTTGTCAGCCACAAGAAATTCTTTGAGCCCTCCTCTGTTAATCAGCATCTCGGGCCTCCAGAACACCCCATTCCACAAACATCCACGTTAATGAGCATTTTACTGTTTCTTTAAGATCAGAAGGAACGGTCAGATCCTATGCTCTCGTTCTGCTGTGCGCAGACCTATGTGGATATGGTTGGTGGTTCTTAGAGAGGCTTGATGCTGACAGAATGTGACTAAGTTATGGAACAAAACACATAATCAGCAGCTTCAGCCTTGGAGCCCAGATTCTAGAGCGGAGCCCCCAGCTGGTGTGTGAGGAGTGAACCCAAGTGGCAGAGACCCTGATGCTCTCGCCTTCGGGGTGGAGACGGGGCCCACGGCCTCGGACCAGTTGCCCCACGCGCCATAGAAATGTTCTTTTCCACACGCGCCCCGACATGGGAGTGTGGGGAGTACTGGCCCTAGGGTCCAGGGAGCTCGAGCTTTGCTTTTGATCCGTCTCTAGTTTTTCACTCAGTCTCTCCTTAGCATCTTTTTTCTTTCTTTTAATTTTTCTTTTATCTTTTTTCTTTCTTGTTTAAAATTTTGGTAAAATACACATAACACAAAATGTACCATCTTAGCCAGTTTTAAGTGTACAGTTCAGGGGTACTAGTCACACTGTTGTGCAGCCGTTGTCATCACATCATCATCTATCCTCAGGATGCTTTTCATCGTGTAAAACGAAAGCTATCTGTTCAACAACAACCCCCGGTCCCTGCTCCCCCCAGCACCTGGCAGCCCCCCTTCTCTTTCTGTCTCTGAATCTGCTACTCTGAGTACCTCATGTAAGAGGAACCATAGAGAACTTGCTGTTCTGTGACTGGCCCGTTTCACTGACAGTAACGTCCTTGGGGTTCATCCATGTTGCAGTCTGTGTCAGAATTTCCTTCCTTTTTGGGGCTGAATCTTTGCACCACGTGGCTGGACCACATTTTGCTCACCCATCCCGTGTGCTGACCTCATTCCTGTTTTCACCTCATTTTTCTTTTGCCTCTGTTTCCTTATTGCATTTCTGCAAGCAAGGTAGGCAGAGGCTTAGAAAGTCAGTCCAGGTTTGAAACCTGGGTACTGGTTTTGCTGATTATGAGGCCTTGGGTAGCAGATTACTTAACCTCACTGAGCTTCATTCCTCACCTCTGAAATGGATATATAGTGGCGATACTTATCTCATAGACCGTCCTTAGAATTAGACAGGACAGCAAGTGTATGCAAAGACTTAGCCCAGTGCCTGGCACAGTGTTCAGCAAGTCTTAGCTGCTGAAGCATGCTCATCCTGTGTACTTTCAGAGCTTCTCATTCTTTTTGGCATGAGGTTGAGAAGGAGGAGGATCCTAAATTAAATAGAGCTGATTTCAACCCACTGCCATGAGTGTGCTTTAGTGTCCTGCCCTAAGGTGTGAAGGTGAATTTGAGACTGTGCTGCGCCCTGGGCACCCCAAGGCCTCCCGTCTTGAAGCTCTCTGTCTGGCCCTGAGATGACAGCACTAGCAAAGCTCTGGGTGTCCGTGGGCTCTGGTGCTGGAGTGAGTTCCTGCACGTGCGCAGGAGGGGGCCCAGGTGAGCCCACTGTGCCTGCAAGTGGCTGCCTGGAATGGCCTGTGAGCCAGAGGACTGGTACTGCCTTGTAGGCTCTGGTTCTCCCTCGTTCCAGCTGTCGCCCACTGCCCTGATCCCAGGGAGGGGTGGCAGGGAGGAGTTGGGAACAAGTTGTCTTTGTGCTCTGTTTTTGGCCCACTCATCTGCACCGTGGGTACTAGTAGTCATGCCAGGGGAGACACTGGGATTCAGAGCTGCGCGTGGAGTGTCAGAGGGTTTCTGGGGCTGTAGGAAGAGCTGGGAGGCTGGCATATTTGTTGTGGGCAGAGCCCTCTGCTACACAGTTTTTGAAAATCCTTTTGCAGACTGGGGTGAGAGCCAGAGATGTCAGCAGGAGTGTTAAATGTTAAAGGGCTGTTGGGAATGTTGCCCTGCCAAGGTGATGGACTTTGCAGGGAGAGTGGTGCGGGCATATAAAAAGCACTGAGGCCCAGTTTATGGGGCATCAGGATCTCGTGTGTGCTGGACCTTTTTGTCAGGACGAGGTCCACCCAGCAGCAGTGGTGGGTCAGTTCTGTAACTGGCCCTTTATGTCCGGAAGTGGCGTTGGGGACTGACGGTCTTGACTGCCGCTCTGGCTTCTCACTGTGCAGTCCAGAAACAACTGGTTCCTGGGTTCTCTTCAGCAAGCCTTTGTTAAAGTGCCCCTTGCTTCTGAGTGAATGTGTGTATCCCTAATGCAAATGTCGTCTGCTGTCAGGATCCAGTCAGTCCCAGGAGCAGCGATCCAGTAGCTCTGAGGAGGCATCTGGAACGGAGGAGGAAGAGGAGGACCAGCCCAGCTTCATCATGGGGCGGTGACGATGTTGCCACAGCAGCTGTCAGGAGCGTGGCCCGTTCTGTGACTGGGCCTCAGGAAACCCTCCACACGCCCCGAGGGGAAGGGACCTCTGTTTCAGCTCAGTTTCCCTACCAAAGCCTTGATGGATAGAAGCAAGCGGGAACCCATCAGAGGGCTCACAGCCCCACTATCGGAGAGAGGACCGTCTCCTGGACACTCGAGGGCACTGCCAAGCACGGTTTGTTCACATTCCCGCTAAAAGGAAGGAAAATGTATAACCTGTGAACCACTGGTGCCTGTTCTCACATAATTGGATGGTGATGAGTTTGGGGCTGGCTTCTGAAAGGAAATGTTTATTCAGTAAAGAACAAAAAACTTCAGGTTTTGTTCAGACCGGTGATATGATTGCAGAAGCTGTCATGAAGGCTGTGAATGACATGATGGGAACAGGGCCTGTTCCTAGACCCATACAGAAATGGCCTTGGCCCTGGAGCTAACTCGCAGTGCAGGGCGCACGGCCTCCCTCTCCTTCAGCAGAGGGTGCACACTGCACCCCAGAAGGCGTGCTCCCGCCCAGCAGCTCCCAGCACACAGTGCAAAGGGGGACGTAGGACTTAACCATGGGCCGAGCTAGAAGAGAGGACCTTGATGTGTGACAATAAGCAGGCAGAGAATCCAGGTGGGGCTGGACCAGAGCAGATGATCCGGGGAATGAATCCTCACTGCACTGCAGGGAGGCGGATGAATTGGCCAAAAGCTGTATTTTCATCTGGAGGTAAAGGGGCTCTAAACAGAAAATGAGAGGTGACTGAGGGCAACTTTCAGGCCAACAGAAAGGAGAGATGGTTTCTAATTAGAGCCTTTGCTCACTTTTTGGATATCTCCAAGTTTCTAGGTTTATTTTGTACCTTTTATGGAGTTTGATACAATTAAGAAAAATAGTTTCCCTTCACTCAAAGCCACTGAGAAACATCTTTTTTTTTCGTTCCCTGGCCCTACCCTGAGCCATGTGACATCTGTGATAGCTTCTGTCTTTCCTCAGTTCAAGTCACAGGAATTTTTCTTTCCCAGGAAGCTGAAGTGGAGAGTCAGCCCTAATAAATTAGCACACACCCTGACTGTACATTTTGAAAGCCATGTTCCTCTTTCATCAGGGTCTGGCTAGTCAGTTTTGTGTCCTATCTTTGAACTGTTGGTTTCCTTTTCTCCCCCCACAGTATGTGTCATAACTCCTGCTTTGAATTTGCAGCCTGGATCCTGTGGGCATTCTCTCACGCACTGGAGGCTGTTGAGGGGGCCGGAGTGTGGAACCTGGAGCCCTGGGTTTGAGTCCTGACCCTGACGAGACAGGAAGCTTTGGGCAAGTCACCCCCTGCCTCTGCCAGGGACCTCAGGCCTGGGGTACCTGGTATCTTAATGAGATACCGCAGCAGGTGTGTGTGGACAGGTTGGGGAATGACTAGACAAATGGGAAGATGCCAGATGGAGGTTTGTTTTTTCACCTTTACTTGATGTCAGAAGATGATGTTCGGGGGAGAATGTCCTGCAGCAGTTTCTGGTGATTTTTAGGGGGCTGGCAGCACCTTAGGTTGAATGACTCTTGGTCTTTCTGTTTACCACACAAACGTGGATGCACTCACCCAACACGCAGCAAAGCCCGTCTATGGCCGCCAGGTTGTGGTAATGGGGGCTGGGCCTTTTGAACGTGAGCTGCCCAAACCCCCCAGTGGCTTTCTGGTAAGGAATTTTAAAGACTGAGGGAGAGGGTCACAGGGTGTGTGGGCAGCTCATGTACAGTTCTGATTGGTTGATGGTGAATAGCAGGATGATGATTTAGGAATCTCAGTCAACAGCCTTCTGGTTCCAACCAGTCTGGCTGGGGTTTATGTGCTGGTGGTCAGCATGCAGTTAACTTCCTCCACCTGTTGGGGGTCTTAATAGCTGCAAAATAACAAGGGTGTGGCTCAGTATTTACCTATAGCCCTTGAGGAGGAACTAAAGCTCCTTGACTTTATTATAGGGCTAAACTATTGTCGCTTGACTGCTTTCCTTTGTGCATTTTCTCACGTCTGATTAAATTTGCTCTTTGGAACTGCAAGGAAGGCCTTAGAGGCTAAAGCTTTTCTACAGATGGGCCACGGGGTGGGGATGGAGGTGCTGCAGGGTCTTGCTTGGTTTCAGTCTCTTACTTACTACTTCTCAATCCTGAAAGAACAGGGGCCATGACCACTCTGGCTACTGGTGCTGACTGAAGGACAAGGTCACTTTTTCAGAATTACAGAGAAGAGAGTCACTGACTTGCATTTTTAAGCACTCTCAAGTTGCTTAGCGTCATTATTTTGTATTATGAAAACATTACCTCTCTTTGATCGGTTTGTCTAGCACCTGGACAGACACTTGAAAACGAGCAGACACGTTACTTTGTTGGGTGCCCCAAGAGTCCTCCTAGTCCAGATGGCAACCAGGAAAGTAAGTTTTGGGGTGGGTCCTCTTTATGTACTTTCTGTAATCAAGTACCCTTTTGAATTAATTCTGTTTATTTGGATTTCTGCTTCTCCAGGGGTATAATATATACAGGGAGCTATTGGCCACTACACATGTTTTTTTGTTGTCAAAATATAATTTAAAGCAATTTTATTATCTAATACTAGTCTGACTGAAGAGTCTAGTTGCCTTCTGCTGGAAGGTTGCACCCCAAGCCTTCTCCTTTCTTGCTGTTCCTGAAGAGAACGGTTTTAGAGTTACTAGAGGAGAGCAACCACAAAGCTGCAGTTAGCAGCTAACGTTGTTCTGAGAATGGCTGGTGGTGTCTTTGACTCAGATACAATTGAGAAAATTCACGTTCTCAGTAACACAGGAACATGTCTGAAACCAGATCCATAATGGCCACCCAGAGATCATTTTGGATGCCTGAACCACAGTTAATTCATTTTGATTTTTTAAATGTATTCTTTTCTTTAAAGCAGACAGTGTATGTTTGGTAAAGTTAGAACAGCCTGTTTTGTGGCCTGAGGTAAGTCATGTATAAGCCAGGATGACTGCTCCACACCTCAATATGCGAACATTTCCTCCATCATTTTCCCCCTTTTTGTTTGCAAGTGTTAGAAAGCATTGATAATCAAAACATTTGGTGCTGGATGCCAGGGTGGTTTCCGCTTGCCCTGGGTCCATCACATCCCTCCATGCTAGGCCTCTTTTTTGTTTACATATATTTGCCTAGTTATCCACATCAGGGGAAACTTGGACAGTGAACATTTTACAGGCTATACATTTTATCAGTTATATTAAACTGTCACACGAACATTGTACGTACACTTTTAGGAGTAGACTTGAAGCAAGCAGTGATACATGTCCTGAGTAGTTACTCTTAATTTCACTAGAGAATTTTCTTCTATCCTGAATACTGGGGTTAGAAGTGAAACAGCTTTCCCGTTTGGTAGGGAGACAGACATTTGGAAAACAGTTCAATTGAATTAGGATTGAGGAGGAACTAAAAGGTCCTTGACTTTGTTTTGTGGCTAAACTATGATTTTTTCTTGCTTGACTGCTTTCCTTTGTTTCTGCATTTTCTCACTTCTGATTAAATTTACCCTTGGGAACTCAGGGAAGGCCTAGTAAACTGGAGTTTTTCTACAGACAAGAGGTGGGGGACGTTGGGGGTGCCCTGTCCCCAGGAGGCCCCCCCAGGATCCTGCTCAGTTTCATTTCTTCAGGGTATCGTTTGGGAAAAGGGAATAATTAGATGTCATCAGTGAGAAGGGGGTGAGACACTCACCCCTCAAAAAAAGCCGTGATTGGGGAAGAATCATTAAGTAATGCCCTTGTGACTGTTACCAAACCAGGATACAGCAAGCCAGGACATCGAGGTGCCAGGGTTTGTAGCAAAGGGAGCCGGGCAGCCAAGCAAGGAGACAGAATAAGTCTCAGATTCACCTCCTAGAAGGCAAGGGGCTCCAGGTATTTATGGGATAAAGAATAAAGAAGCAAGGCAGTCTGAGGCTTGTGAGGCATGGGGCTAGGTGGCTGGGGAAAGGTGCAGTGACCATCATTCTGTGCAGGTGTATCTAAGCTTCAAGCCTCTGCACGGTCAAAAATGGAGGTGCTTAACACAATGTGGGGGTGGCCGCTTGGCATCAAGAGGTCACCAAGCAGACACACAGCCCAGTTGGCGGCTCAGTGGTCCTATCCAGTCTTAACTAGCTCAGCTCAAACCAGACACAGCTGACTCCAAGCTCCTGGAAAACAACTGGGGCAAACCTTGTGTAGCCCACCTGCTGCCTGGAGGACATGCAAGTCCTAAAACAAATGACCTTGACTAGTGAAGGCAGGTGAAATGGACTTGACTGGTCATTACCCACAGTTCCAGTCCCTCCTATCTTTTGTCATTCCTGTCTTGAGGGATGAGGGGGCGTTGACTGCTCTGGTTACTTCCTGACCCTAACAAGGCCTGGAGGAATGAAACTGGCACTCATTTGAAAACATTCTCTTGTTCTGAGTTTCAAGTTAGCATTCTGATAGCAATAAACAAATACCACCTATGTGCCAGCTGTCATAGGCCCAAGATTGGTCATTAAAACCGTGAAGATGTACCCTGAGGGGGCACACATTGTTAAACTTTAGGCTTTTTTAGGGATTTTATATCCAGGACATTGTCAAGCCAGAGGTCGGTGTCTCACATTTTTACATGCTGGAGTGTCCCGATCATTATCAGTTTGGCTGAAACACTTAGATACTAAATATGGAAGGAACACAGGCTGGGAAAAATAAGTATGGTTTCTACAGTATCCTCACCGAATAGAAACTTGCCAGGGTAGGCTCCAGGGTCTTTTCTTTGGGGGGAGTTTTGGGGGATAGGGCAGGCAATTAGTTTTTTTAGTGGAGGTACTGGGGGTTGAACCCAGGACCTCACGCATGCTAGGCATGCACTCTACCACTGAGCTATATTCTCCCCACTTTTTTAAAATCTGAGGACATAGGGACCAAATTTCAGCTTAGAGGAGGAAAAGCAGAGGACAGGAAATTCTGTTGATTAGCCTAATCCAGTATGTCACATCAGAAGTCACAGTGAAGTTAGGGACAGTCAGAAAATTAATGACAGGCATGACCAAGGAATCAGCATGATCCAGTACAGAAAAAGGGTTTGGTGACAACGTTCACCAGCTAGAGAGATTACCTGCTTTTGCCCAAGTTTGCCAAGTCCTCACCACTGAGTTGTCCTTCCAAGCCTTAGTTTCTTTCTTGCGGCCTCTTTCTGAAAAGCAGCTTAAGGTCTGTTAGGGGTTCACTTGCCCACTTGAAGGAGTCGGCGTAGGGGGTCTGGAACCAGCCAAGGTTTAGATGATCTCTGTCCACCGTTGTCCTCTGCAGCTTACTTTCCATTTCCCATCACATTCCTCACAAGGTCTAGTCCAGGAAGGATGGAACTGGTCTTCTGGATGTTTATTCTTCCAAGATTTCTGTCTAGAGATTCATTGTCTCCTCCTCTGAGAGCTTCCTAAAGTGGTTTTGCTCTGAGTCCAAAGTTGGGGCTCCAAATGCGGCAGAACCCAGTTATTCCCAGGAATCCCCACAATTGCCTCCTGATGGTGGGAACTGCAGCCCTGGCTAGAGCTTCCCTCCCGTCAGGGAGCAAGTCTTGGTCCTTCTGGTAGTTCAAAACCCCAGTATTTTAACAGAAGACTTAGAACTCTGTCCCCTTTTACTTGGACACCTTAGAGCCTCATTCAACCCAAAAGTTCAAAGTCAAGACTGTATTCTGAAACACAAATGAATTTACTTACAAAACAGAAATAGGCTCCCAGACAGGAAAACAAACATGGTTTCCAGAGGGAAAGGGAGTGGGAAGGGATAAATTGGCATTTCGGGATTTGCACATACTATTATATGTAAGATAGATAAACAGGTTTCTACTGTATAGCATAGGGAACTATATTCAGTATCTTGTAGCAATCTATAATGAAAAATAATATGAAAATGAATGTATGTATGACAAACATTATGCTGTACACCAGAAATTGACACATTGTAAACTGACTATACTTCAATTAAAACAAAAAAAATGGCCAGAGGGGAGGGTATAGCTCAAATGGTAGAGCGCATGCATAGCATGCATGAGGTCCTGGGTTCAATCGCCAGTACCTCCTCTAAATAAATAAATAAGCCTAATTACCCCAAAAAATTTTTTAAAAAAAAATAGTCTATTAAAAAAAAACTGTACTTCAATTTAAAAAAAATTTTTTTTTAATGGCCAAGTGGCCCACTGTCATAGTCACCTGGGACTCCACATGAGAGATGTTGACAGGCTCGGGATTTAAAGGAGCCTCTGGGCCTCCTCATCCTCGGCTGCTGACTTGCTCAGTTAGCTCAGGCATCCAGTGTGCCACCTGTTGTTTACCTTCTTCCAGAATCTTAGGATGGGACGTATTTCCAGTGTCCCTCCTGTTTGCAAATGTACATTGGCAGGGTGCCACTATCGGGTGCCCTGTTTGAGTGGAAGCTTGGGGCTTCGTACTTGTTGCCGAGTCCCTCGTGGCGGGTCCTCCATCTGGTCCTGCCCTTCCCTGTGTTACGGCAGCCGCCAGCGGAGTGGTCTGCTGTGTTATTCTCTATTGCTCCCTTTTCTCCTGAACTGGTCCTCGCCGTTTGAAAATGTAGACACTTTCAGCAAGTTGAAACATGGACATCCCTAAAGCCCCTTCCACCTTTTGCAGCTTCTTTGGCATATCGGGGGCGCTCTGATCAATGAAGTTCATGTTAACCATCTTTAAATTCTCTGGCGCCTCAGAGTCTCTGTATGTTGCCTCCAGGCTTTAAATGGCCCTTTGTAGAAATTCTGAAGGACCCTTATTTGGTTTGTTTTATCTCCTGTTCTTTATTGAAGCATTTTTGTTTTGTCACCCCTCTTCCCAAGCCTGCAAAAATGCAGTCCCCATAATGCTCAAGTTTTAGCCCACCTCCAGCATTCCTGTCCCAATCAGGACCCACCGTTGGTACAACCATGCTTGCAGCAGCCTGTACTGGGTGGCCAGGGGTTTCTGTGTGAAGCCCATGTGCCTCCTCCGGAGGTTTATCCAGCACCACTCAACATTCTTCTGACGTGAGGACGCTGTTTAATCAATTTTGAACATCTGCCCAGGTTAGCTGTGGGTTGTCCAAAAAGAAAAAAAAAATTTCCATTTTCTTTGGGTCTTCTCTGTAAGTTGGCATATTGTTCCAACTAAATAAATCCCAAGTTGAAAAGGGAGAGTGGACCCAGATCCATCCCACTGGCTGCCCAGTCTCAGCGCTCACTCCCCATTGGGCACTTGCCTGAATGGTTATTGCCCAGCCTGAGTTTGGGTGGCTCTCTGGCCAAATCTAGTGTCCTGGTGGGTACCAGAAGAGGAGGCATCACTCCTCCTCCATCTTCAGAGACTGGAGGGCCTCCAAGCCTGAGGCTGTGGCCCAGGAGCCAGCAATGAAGCAACAGCAGCACCATCACGTGGGGGTGGAGGACGGGTGGTTGGAGGGTTCAGCTGAAGCACCAGCAAGTTGCCCTCCTTTTCATAAGAATCAAGCAAGACGGGTTTCTTTGCCTTCCCTTCCCACTGGGCCATAACCTTACATCTTTGCACAGGTTTATCCTGATGCAGTAACATAAAGGGCTGTACGTAAGGCATTTCATCCCATTTTTCTTCCCACTTAACAAAGTCTAGTTGCAAAATTGTAACTGAAAGATCCATTTTCAGGCTCTTTTGCTCCAGACTCTAAAGGATATCGTGGCAAAAAGACACAAAAACCAAAAACACACAGGATCTAACAGCAGAGCCCTGGGCCTCCAGACCAGGAATGGGATATGTCAGCAACTGAAACCTTTTATATTTTCTACCAGAATCCTGCCTGCCAGATAGGCCCCGACCCACGATCTGGACAGGAATGCCAAACAATCTAGGCACAAAAGACGTCCTCCAAACCCAGAGCCCCCAAACCGTTTCTTTGCTACGAAACAAAACTAAGCACAGAAGGTCCCCGCGTCTCACCGAGGAAACCCAGGTGGGACACAGCCCCGGCGGCATAAACCAACGAGGCAGCGGCTCCAATTCACAAGACTCATGATACCAGCAAGGGGCCGACAAGCCACAGGCAAAAGGTCCATCTTACCCTCTGGCTGGCCCACCACATTTCTCACCGAACCTAGTTCCCTTGCCCAACACGCAGCAGGCCAAAATGCTGAGATGCCGAGGTTTGCCTCAGAGAGTCTGCTCCCAAGGCAGCCAAGCGAGAAGACAAAAACAGATCTCAGATCTGCCTCCCTGAAGGCAAAAAGCTCATGATATTTATGGGCTAACGAATAAAGCAGCAGGGTGGTGTGAGGCATGGGGAAAGCGGGGAAGATTGAGAAAAGGTGGGGTCATGGTCATTGTGCACAGGTGTAACTCAGCTACAGGCTTCTGCACGTTAAAAAATGTAGGCGCTCAGCATGATCTGAGGGTGGTCGTTTGACGTGAAAAGGTCACCAAGTAGACACACACGCAGGCCCATGTGGAGGGTCAGTGGTGCTATCCAGCCTTAACCAGCTCAGCTCAAACCAGACCAGCTGACCCTAAGTTCCTGGAGAACAACTCGGGCAAACATCTTATTGTTAGGCTCCGTGCGTTTGGGGGACGTGCAGGTCTTTAAATGAACGACTTGATTCGTGAAGGCAGGTGAAGCGGATCTGACTAAGTCACCCAGCAAGGTGGTGGTGGAGCTGGCACGTGAACCTGGGCAGCGTGACTCCAGCATCCGTCGTCCTGGCCCCGGCCCACTGTGCTGTGCCGCTTTGGGGAGGGGCTGCACAGAGCCCAAACCTGACAGGCAGAGTGCCAAGGCTGAAGGCTGCTCCTTTAATGAGCCCCCCCCCGAGTGGAAGTGGTGCATGTGTGTGTATGCATAACAATATAATAGTGTTATAATATGTAGTTTTAAATACAGTCGCTCCTTGTGGTCCACAGGCTCTATTTTTGTGAATTGGCCCATTCACTCAGTTTTATCAGTAACCGCCCCAAAATCAGTACTCAAGTGCTTTTGCAGCCCTCTGCAGACATGTGCAGAGCGGTGAAAATTTGAGTTGCCTGATGCACGCGTTCCCAACTGAGGCCAAACAAGGCAACACTCTGCCTTCCTGCTTCAGCTCAAATTTATCTATTTAATGGCAGAGTTTTGCATTTTTGTGCTTTTTCTTGATTTTGCCATTTAAAATGGCCCCAGAGCACCATGTTTAGGTGCCACCCGGTGTTCCTAAGCTCAGGGAAGCTGGGGTGTGTCTTAGGGCAGCTTCTCTCAGGCTGTGAGTTCAGCGTTAATAAATCACTGTTACATATGAATGAGTCTCAGTAATCTCAGTATAACAGATTAATGAGATTGTCTTTAAACAGAAATACATACAACAATGCTGTGTGTTGATGGGTTGATGCGACCAAAGGGTCACAGAACCCTAACCCCATATTCCCCTGAGCAGGAATGGTTCAGAATTCGCTAATTCAGTGTTTTTGGTGACTTTATAGAACACAACTACCTCGAATAATGAGATTTAAGTGTGTGTGTTTGGAGAGTGAGTGAATGTGCGTTAGCAGCCCTACAATTAGAGATAGATGCCTCCTAAAGCAAGGACTTGTGCATTAGTGCTGTACACCCCGGTGCTAACAGTCCTGTATCTCACTGGAGAACCGGGCCGCTGGACTGAGCAGTCCCCAGTGAATGTAGGAGCACGGAGGCCACCCGGAAACCCAGCGCTCCCCACCTCTCCTTAGACCTCATCCTCTCCTAGTATATTCACTCTCCCGCTTTCTAAAAGGCACTTTTCCGTGTCCTCCCTCCCAGACCTCCCCCCCAACCCCCACTGGGGAACTGTGGAGAAAGCAGAAGCCTCAGGCCAACCCCTCAAGTCCCCATCACTTCATCCCCCGCCCACAGCGACGGAGCCAGTGCACCCTGCCCTCCGCTCCTACAGTGCAGAACACGCCCCATCCCGGTCTCCTGGCCCCTTCCCAGTAGCCAGCAGCCCAGCTCTCCCATGGTGAAGCAGCAGAACAGAAGCCCTTGTTCCGTGTGCTCCTGTAACTGCCCCTCCCCTGCCGCCCCCCACATGCATCTCCTCCCCTTCTCAGCCAGACTCCAAGTTTTCTGTTTGCTGCCACCTCTTGCCTCTCATCCCTCTCAAAGATTTCATCCCCGTCAAGCCCCTGAAATCCTCCTAGTCTCGCCAAATCCAGCCCGTTGGTGGCCTTCTCTTCAGCTTTTCACTCTTCTGCTAGCATTCCTGATGGCACCGCCTTCTGGCTGGCTTTCTGCCTTTCCCTTGCTTGCTTCCCGTCTGCACAAACTCTAAATATTGGGGTGACCCAGAGCGCGGTCTTCTCCTGGCAATCCTCAGGTCCCAGGAGATTAATCTGTGGCTCTGAACACCAGCCTCACTGGTGTCTTCTAAGTCTGTGGCTTCAACTTCCCTTTGGAGCCCCAGACTCGCATCCACCCAGATGTCTCCCCTTGGCTGTCCAATGGGCACCTCGAGCTTAATATAAGAAAAACTTGATTTTCGCCCCCTAAGCACGTGCCTCCTCTATCTTCCCAGCTTGGTAAATTGCACCACATCCACACAGTTGCTTGAGGTTCTAACCAAAGAGTCAGGCTCATCCTTGGTTCCTGTTTTTCTCAGCCCCTCCCACATCCATCCATCTCACTAGACCTGTTCTTGGTCATGGCCTCTGCTTCGTTCACCCTGGTCCACACCACCAGCAACTCTAGCTTGGATGGATGCTGTGGCCTCTTTCTATTCATGCTCCCTGCAACCGAGTCACCCTGAAACCAAGTTTGTCTGCTGAGTTTATGATTAACCTCTCTGTCCAAAACTTCCTACCCTTTCTTGTCCAGCCTCAAGACTGAGGAGCAGCAACGAAAGTGGGGGATTGAAAGCGAGCAGGACCCTAATGGGGCCCTTCTGGGTACAAAAGCCTTTCCACGTCCCTTGTTTCTTGTTTGTAGAAAAAGGCATTAATATCCTAGACCTTCCCTGAGTTTCAAAGAGCAGATTCAAGCAGTTACTAATTAGGGAAGGGAGAGAAGGCAAAGACGAAGGAAACAGCCAGCCCAAAGCATCCTAAGGAAAACAGGAGGGCTAACGGGGAATTAAAATCCTTAACCAGTCACATCGGCTCTGAGTAAGTAATAAAATGCTTCAACCATTTACTTTCACTCTCTCCCAGAAAGAAGTTAAGGTATCGCAAGACCATGATTTACCTAGTCTGCTTTGCAGGAACATAGATCCAACACAATCACCAAGACACATCGCGCCACAAGATGGTGTGGGTACCGAGAAGTCTGCAGCTGAGGCCTTATGGGGAAGCTGAAATCGGAAAGACCTCCTCCTCTTTACGTTGTTTTTTGTTTGTTTGTTTGTTTTGTTTTGTTTTTGCCTTTAAAACCCTTGTGCCCTGCCAGCCAGCAAGATGGATGTGAGACAGATCTACATCTCTCATCTTCCGGGTTGGCACCTCCTGGACGAATAAACCTTTCTCTGCTCCAAACTCTGATGTTTCAGTTTAGCCTCATTGTGTGTCAGGCACAAGGACTTGAGTGCAACAACACCCAGACCCCCAAATCTGTTCACACAGCAGCCAGGATGATCCTTTAAAAGCAGAAACCAGATCTTGCCACCTCTCTGCGTTAAGTCCCAGATGGCTTCCCTCACACTTAGAATAAGAGCAGAAGGCCTATCCAGCCTCTGTCTCCGTCTCTCTGTGCCCACTCTCCCTCACTCTTGCTCCTGATGGCCCCGCCCCAGGGCAGTCCCTGCCTCAGGAACTGCGCCCTGGCTCTGCCTCTCCCTTCGGCCTCAGCTTTCCACCCACCCACCCCCTCCATCCTCTCATTTCTTCCACAGCTCCATCCCTTGGTCACCTACCTGCGCCCTGCCACACCAGCAGCCCCCATGCCCCTGGACCTCCATGACAGTGAGGACATGCTTGTCCTGTTCCCTGCTGAACCCTCGTGCCAGCACAGTGCTTGGGATGTAATAGGTGCCCAATAAATGTCACTTAGGTGGCTGAGCAAATCTCAGTGACTGAAAGCAAGCAGGTAAGTTGCTCACACCTGAAAAACTGCTCCTACAGCAGGAAGAACCCAAGGGTAGAGTCTGGAGTTTGCTGTCTTGCTGCGCACAGTACCACAGCAGGGGAGGAACCCGTACGAAAAATCCAGACCCCGGCCACGCCCCCAGCCACTGATTCTTCAGGGATCAGGCCCTGAATACGCATTCTAAGCAGGTACCCCAGAAAACTACCCTGGATACCTGTTACCCAAACCTTGTGAAACACTGGTTTGGAGCATATAAAGTAACATCATTTTAAATCCTCTATTTTCACCATTTATCTTTTGGAGAAAAAATTATTAAACTGAGTTAGAAGTGTGATGTTCTATTGACTTTTGGAAACAGGAACATAACTAAATCTGCTTT